AAGGGGGTGACAGTAGAGAATGGAAAGGTTTGAAACCATAAGGAGTTGCCAAGCAATCTATCCAATCTTTCCCACAAAGTACCTCTTCTCTAAGTGAACTTTGGGCCTTGAAAGCCTACATCAAATAGACCAGCATCACTGATGAAGTTATTGAATTTAGCTATTGGAGAGAGTAAAGGGGCCTTACTCCCTCTTTTTTCAGTAGGAGAAGTGATACAATCGAAGCCACCCCGTAAAATCCAGAAAGAGTCAATATTTTGTCCCAAAGTCATCAGCTCCTGCCACAGTTCTTGTTGATGTCTAGGAATGCTGCTAGCATAGATGAAAGATGCAAATCCCATCTGTGCTCCAATGGCAAACTGAATATGAAGAAACTGATGATGGTTAACAAGTAAGCTGCACTTAATTTCAGGTTTTACAAAAAGCCAGATTTTATTAGTGGAATTAGCATAAAAAATAAACTTGGAAAACTTGTTGATAATATTTTGAGGATATTTGGTGACCATAGGTTCAAAAAACACCAATTCTTGTGGAGTCTGATGAGATGTCTTAATCTCAAAAGAGAGGAGGGGTGAGATCCTCCTCTAATGTTCCAACACAAAATATTAATCATGGGATCCTTAGCATTCCACAGAGGAGTACTAATCACTGATAGGAGAGAATTGAATGGAAGGTTGAAACCTTGACCTAGTTCTTCCTCTATTATAGATAGAGGTAGAGCCAGAAGGGGTCTTAGCCTTTCCATCCTTCTTGGAAGATTTTGTTCCTTGTAGGAGTTGCTGCACCTCAAAAGTCAACTTTTTCTTTTTCCTGGTTTTTTGAATTTGCCAATCCTCTTCCAAGGCCTGTTGCAAATCAATGACATCAGCCTCAGCAATGCTAGGAGTGGCTTCATTGATCAGGGAACTTTTCATCACATTCTTTTTCCTTGTTTGCTAATTTTGCCAATCTTCTCCCAAAGCCTGCTGCACCTCAACAGCAGCAGCTTCAAAAGTGTCAGCCTCAGTGACCAAGGGGTTTTCCAAAACACACTTCCCTTTTCCAGCAAGTGTAGGGGAAGGAGAGGTAATAATACTGACTTCATTAGGTTTTGTCCTCACCACACAACCTGGGGAAGTTTCCAAGTTGTTATGGGGTTCTGATAATTCCCCCAATGGATCATCAGAGGGGAAAGTATCAGGAGGATTAGTGTTCTTGAAAGAAATAGTTTTACTGGTTGGCCTGACATCCTCCTTTTGATTAAATGTAGTGGTATTATTGATTTGTCCCTGATTAGAAACCTGAATAGTTACCCTTGGATTCAATTTTTTGTAGGGGGGTGGAGCCTATAGCTTTTCTCAATAGTGTGGCCAAACATTTTACAGTGTTGGAAGTAAAAAAGCTTTTGTTCAGCAGTTATATCTTGCCAAAATCCCTCTTCATCAGAACCAATCCATATCCTTTTAATCTCAGGGAGGGTTATGTGTCTTTCCACCTGAAATCTAGCAAGAGCAGGTCTTGCCTTATTGATAGTAGGAGCATCCACCTTGAGGGGAGTGCCTAGTGCTCTCCCTATATTAAAGAGTGCATTAAGCTTGAAGTAAGGTAATGGAATACCAGGTACCTTAAACCAAACTGGGACCACAGGAGGCTCCTTAGTTGGGTCAAAGTCTCAAGTCCATTTTTGGATTTTCAATGTAACTCCTGCTATAGAAACAACTTGTTTAGCAAATAGCCTAGCATAATCTTCTTCCATTGAGAGTTGGATAAGAAGGTGTCTGCCATCTATCAAACCAAGCTTCCATTGTCCAATGAAATTTAAAGAATCAAAGAAGCTTCTAACAAGGTCCATTTTGGGATGGCCCAATTGAAATTTTCCAACAAGAGTGAAAAGTTGTCTGCAGTTTCTCAATCTTTGAAGCCAAGGGGGTGAATGCAAGGGCAAATCCCTTCGCCAGCAGCAGCATTATGAACTTCCTGAGGGAAAATTAAATTTGTAGAATCTTTGAGAGTGTCAATAGCTCTTCCCACAATCCCTGCATAAGTAGCCTTAGTCCAACTAGAATCAG